TATCGTTAAGTCATTATAACGATCCGAAAATCGTTATAATACGATAGAGAATTGCCCTGCTGGTTTGAAATAAATGGCATAGAATATCGTAAAAAAATCTTGTTCATTTGTGAAAATTGGCTGAAAAATGGCGGCTGAACGTCTATTTGTTCGCAAACTACTCCGTTAGTTTTAGAGATATTTCAACCAAATTTTGGTAAACAGTGGTATATTTTTAATGTATTGATCACTTTATACTTTTATATTATTCATATATATCTAGATTTTGGGATATAAATCCGAGTAGAAATGTCGAAGAGCACTAAAGTTGACCCTCTACCATATATACGTGTAGATTACTTAAAAAAACTAATTACACTGACAACCTTTGGAATCGAAAAGCTACGTTATATATACAGGGTGTGTTTTGAACTCTTTGGATATAAAATAAAATACACATTTTGAAAATCTTTGAAAGTTATTATTTATTGAAAATAGGTTCCATTTGACTCAACACAACGCTTGGAACGATCAACCAGCGCATGCATAGATTTTTTTATGTCATTTATAGAAATGTTCTTCAGTACCTCGGTTACGGCTACTTGAATGGCTGGGATATCATCATAAAATGTTCCCTTCATCTTGGTTTTCAGTTTTGAAAATAAAAAATAGTCACATGGTGATAGATCAGGCGAATACGGAGGATGGTCGATGAGAGAAATCCCCTTTTTCATTAAAAATTCATTAAAAATTCGAGCGATTTTTTGGTCGTCATTTAATTCATGTGGAATAAATCGCGCACAGACGTTTCTTTGCCCCAAATCTTCAGTTAAAATTCTCCAAATAATGTTTTTACTCGTAATCAATTCCTCAGCCAACATTCTTGTAGTAAAATTTGCATCGATATCAATGATTTCACGGACTTTTTCTACCAGTTCAGCACGATTACTAGTTCCTGGATGTCCTACTCTAGGGTTGTCATTTAAATACTCACGACCATTTTTAAATCGTGTAAATTACGTATTAACTTGCGTACGACTCATACAATCATCATAATAAACTTTTTTCATTAATTATTTTTTTCAAGTTTGACAGAAAATTTTATATTTGCTCTTTGTTCCATTTTATTTTTTGAACCATTAGCACACTTTTGGTTTTATTGAAATGGCTGTCACTTTTACATCTGTCATCCGACTTACATGATGTTTGGTGCGTTTTAAAGAGGATGAATGTATCATTTTAATGTTGCAAATTTTCAATAGATGGCGCTGTATGTTGTATGATTTAAATATAAAGTTCGGTTATTTTTGGGACACTCCGTGTATATCCTTCTTACAATGAAATTTGAGGTTAAGATCGTCAAAAAGTATAAAAAGCTATGCATAAAATTCTACATATTCATAAAAGGCATAGAGACTTCCTTTAGATAAATCTTAAAAACAAACACTTATTATCTATTCTGAATCAATTAACAAATGCTTAACAAAAGCTGTGTCGATGTGCCAGGAGAGATTCAAGAATTAATAATCTCACCAATATTTGTATATTTATGGTATAAGTTACATACTTCAATATTAATTCTTGAATCTCTCCTGGCACATCGACGACTGATTTCTTTAAAAATCTTATTGCAATAGGGCGACAGGAAAAAGCTCCGCATAATAATCTGTCTGCTTGCGAGGACTGCTTATAATAATCTTTATGTCTGTTGGGAAAATATTAACACGCCAACCACAAATTGGAGGACAAACTCGGCCAAAATTGCTTCATTAGTTACAAAGCGCCAAATATATCTATTATATATAAATGCAATTAGTTCAGGGATTAAAAAGAACATTGAGAAGTTTGATACCATTTGCTTTATAAAAGCTCAAAGCTTATGGATCTGAAGCGTTCCGTTGATCTGCGATGAGTCAAAAAAAAAAAATTATCCAAAGAAAATTGTTACTTTTTTCAAAAAAGTAAATTTTTTAGTAAGAAGTGCGAACGCTTATAATTTCTAAACTAAAAAATCCTTCAAAAATATATTAACAGGTCTATTCTGTCGAGGTAAGAAAACGTACTTTGGTATTAAAATTTACCATTCAGTAAATTTTGTTACCATTTTGTATTCTGAGCTCACTCTTACCCTGTAAATTTTGTTACCAGCGAAATAGGAGGTAACAAAAATTACTGCTGTTTGATTTTGTGTTGTAAGTTTAAGAAAAAATAAAAACCCAAAATGAGTAGGCATATTTTAGGCCTGGAATTCATTGAAGATGAAGAAAAAAGTGCAAAAAGCCGTATTTTAAGAAGTTTTCGAGACTAAAAAATAGCTCTTTAATTTGTAAGATAACGTTTTCATTCAGCTTTTTTTTGTTATCCAGGCATATTTTCCATAATTAGGTTTAAATATTTACGATTTAATAAACAAATTACTAAAACTTTAAAATTTTTTTGTGCACCGTCTTCCATTTCGATGTGAACATTTTTCTTTTTACTTTATCAACTGGCAAATGTAATTTGACATGGACGAAAAAAACAGTGCTGCCAAATTTTTTTCGAACATTGTAATCAGTTCGCCAGAATACCAAATTCAATTTCGGGTGTTAAAGAAAAGTAACAAAATGTACTTTATCGGTAACAGTGAGAATAGGTCTGTAAGAAGGCATTAATTGCTATGACGTTTCAGTGTCACGTGCAAAAAAAGACTAATTTAACTGAAAAATATATTTTCTATAAATATTTTTGTATAGACACCGTTTAAAAGTTTTAAAACACAAATGATTCAACCCTAAATTGCCCAACTATGAGTGGTCATACCGGCCTGCCTGCTGCTTTAATTTTTGCCAATGACATCCCCATTTGTTAGGAAAGCGAATAGATGGATGTCTTTAAGGCTTATGACCAATACTCCCTGAGAGCTAGTTGAATCGTTAGTGGTGAGTCGAGGTAGTCGAACTACAGGGTAGTTGAGGTTATACATTGAATATTGCATGTACCCAAAGAAAAATGTCCAAATGTTTCTTAAAAACCTTCAGTAGCCAAGTTCACATAAAGTGACTGAAATATTTAACTGTGTTTTGTATCAAGAATACAATGCATAAGGTTTCATGAGGCTTTTCAATGGGGGATGATATAATATCATAGCAGTTTAAGTCATCGAAGTCATCTAACGGGAGATGCAGGATATGAGTTGTTTCGACGGGCTCATTCGAGAGGGAGCGGGGGTTAGAAGTGTCGGTCTTAAGGGGCACGTAAAGAGATGGTTAATGCCGTGCGAGGACTTCTTAAATGCTGGACAAATATGTCGGGGTCAAGTCTGGCTGGGTACGAGTTTAACCTGCAGATGCGCCTAAGATGCACTGGTATTACGCTGGTCTCTTGAGGCAGCTCGAAGTCATCTAACGGGAGATTCAGGATATGAACTGTTTCGACGGGCTCACTCCAGAGGGAGCGGGGGTTAGAAGTGTCGGTCTTAAGGGGCACGTAAAGAGATGGTTAATGCCGTGCGAGGACTTCTTAAATGCTGGATAAATATGTCTGGATCAAATCTGGCTAGGTAAAGGTTTAACCTGCAACAATATCCAGACCTAAGATGCGTCAGTATTACGCTGGTCTCGAGCTGTTCGTCTGCTATGGGTGTTGATAAGTGGGTGGCTGGGTGTTCAGCCGACATCAGAAGGTTTCCTGCCGTGGTCTTAAGGGCAGTGTTTTGACAGGCTTGTAGTTTCTACAACTGTGTCTCGTTTGTCCACGGTGCCCATATTGGTGCAGCACAGTTAACGATCGGGCGTATAATTGCTTTGTAAATTGCCAGTAAAATTTATTTGTCTTTTCCACAGGTGCACCGGCTAGCTCTTGAAGTATTTTGTTTAGGAGTTCTGGGGCAGTTCCGATCGTATGTGGATCTAAGGCGTGCAGGTTGTCAAATGTGACTTCCAGTAACTTTGGGCTGTTTGTGGTCGGAATTTTTACGCAGTTGACCTTCACATTTTGATTGAGTCTGTACTCCTTCGTCCAGCTGGGGAAAAGGGTAACCGAGGTTTTCTCTTCGGCCCTAACTGTAGTTGTATTGCAGTGAAGAAGTGGGCAAGGTAGTCGAGATAGCAGTTTACTTTCGGTTCAAGATCATCAATATCGAGCAATCATCGGCATATCAGTTCAGTTCTTCTTGCGAAGGAAGCAGCTTAGAGATATCGAAGTTAAACAGTAATGGAGAGAGGACCCTGCGGAACACCAGTTTAATCATCCACAGTTTCGAGGTTTGGCCTCGATGATTGACGACCACTCAGATAGCCTATAATCCACCTCTTCAACCCCGGTGGTAAAGAGGATTCATTAAAGCCCGATGGTATCAATGAATAGTTAACTGTGTCAAAAACATTTGATAGATCCAGTTTTGTTTGAGACCATCGACTATCTGAGTGTTTATGGCGTTAGACGCAATTGTGATATTGCAGAGGCCTTGCTAATGTGCTGCTGAATTCAAATGGTGTGTAAAAGTCGGAAGCCGTGAGACCTCAACTGTTTTTGCTAGTGGGGAGAGGAAAGATATCGGCTGATGGGACTCTCCTTTGTTAGCACGTTTTCCCGGTTAGAGTAGCGGGACCACCGTGTACATTTTCCACAAGTCGGAAATTTTCAGGGTGTTCAGATGGAGAACTTTGGTGAGGACCAACTTTTTACCATCACGAGATATTTGAGGAAATCTAGACATATGGTAGTCAGTTGGTGTAAAGTCCGGGCTACGAGGTGGATGCATTAAAATTCCTCGAAAAAGCATCGTCAAAGGTGCATCAAGTCTGGCATTGCCATGATGAAAAACAAATTATATTGAAATCATTAGAGATAAAATAATAATAATAATTTTCTGTGTTTACTGTTAAATTATGTGTTAAAATACTTTTTCGCTGAATTAAACACCTTAAGCCACTTACCATTAAAGTTTGCTTTATTTTCTATTTATTTCCCATTTTTCTCAATTATCATACACACATACATACATATGTATCTGTACTTGCATGCATAAAATCGCATAGATGTGTTCACGATGACCAACGTTCCTTTGCACTCGGCATACAGTGGATAAAAGTCCGACTCTTGGGCACCATACCAGCGCCGATGATATTTGGTACACTCATCGATGACACCTGCATACTTTGGCAAGAGACCTGTGATCAGGAAGGCGTTGGAGTGGGCGCTTGTTTAATCTATGACAATAATAACATGAGCCGGTGAGTTTTGAAATGATATTTTACGCTGTACATATATTTATGTATATGTATGTACAAATGTGTTTACGATATTTCCAGATACATGTGGCTGCTGGCGCTGGTAGGCAAAACATTATCCGTAACATTTTTCTTTGGCGCTCTGTGGTTTTATATACCACCCAAACAGTCAACGATTAACGGCGAAAATGCACAAGCTGTTAATAACAGTGCTGATATAACAACTGTGGCCACAGTGGAGGCCGAGTGAATGAATGCTGCTGTGTATGTTTGTGTATGCACATATAGTAGCTGCATACATATAGCAGATACGACACAGTATACGTGTATGTATGCACGTGTGGTAGAAAGTTTATGTTTAGAAGAAGAAGTCATAACAAAAACGTAAAAACATTTTATCCCCTCTCATTTGTGGCGCTCAAAGAATGTGTGAGGAGTAAACAAAACCGATAGTTTACAAAATATGCAACAGATGGTTTGACACATACATACATACATACTTGCAGAGGTGTATACAAAACTAATATTCCAAACATATGTGCAAACCAGCTGACTACAGTCACGCTCAATAATAAAGATTCATGTGCATTTATAAATATATTTTAGTGTGTAGATTTTTATATGTATGCCACATGAGAGGCATAAGCATCCGTAGTTTTCTTACATTATATTATATATGGTATGTATCTGGAATATATGTATGTATTTAATAAAGTAATTAAAACTAGATTTTATATAAATAAGCTCGAAGTGGAAAATTATTAGCTCCAGTTTTTGGTGGGTTTTGTTATTTTCTATTTAAGTATTAGAGAATTTTGGCAAGTAAATTTGACTGCGATTAAATTGTTAAGGTGGTTTCAGACACAGCAATTTTCCTTGCTTTCAATTCTGCGCTTTGTAACTATTGAAACGATTTTTGGCTAAACTTCTCCTTCAACTTTTGGCGTGCGTTTTGATGATTTTCAAAAAATGGACGGACCTACAGTTTATCCTAAGCCTCCTCAGAACGGACGATGGATTTTCACCAAGATCTTTAATTTTATATCAGCGATACCTTTAATGGGTGTGACAATTCCCTATGGAGGGGCGACTGCAAATAACAATAATTAGGCCAATGTAATGCAATCAGAGAATGCAGAAGAGTGAGTTATTCAAAGTTTTAATGCGGAGATGACTAGAAAATTTAATTTTTCATATTTTTAAATGTTGCTCGGACCAGGACATGAACACTAACCACTCCGCTATTCTGTAACTCAATTTCCTATAATGCAAAAAGGAAAACAAATTTCAAGCATCATTTATCTGCAATTGGTATTCTGAAAGTTATAGAAACTCCAAGTAAAGCCAGTGCGTTCTCCATCTGATTCTACCGACGGCGTGGTGTTCTGCCTCTGCCTCTGCTTCCATCAATAGGTACCACAATAAATATTTTCAAGCGGATTGTTTTCATCCATCGGGACGAAAATACCCAGTCAGCGTAGTCGGTGCTTACTTAATCCCTTTCGTTTCACCTGTGGTGATCTCCATCCCACGATAATTCCTAATTCGCACTGGTTATACGATGAATAGTGTCTGAAACCTTAGCTGTTGTTGTTGTTGTAACCGCAAAAATAGTCCCCAAAGTACTTTTTGCGGAATGTTGCGGGAGTGACAGCCCTTGGCCGGATAAAAATCCGGGTCGTTCCGGTATAAAGATCCGACTGTCGCGGGAACTATTGGATTATAGTCGCCTCTTCGTCTAGGACTGAAGAAAAGACTCCTTGCTCATCTGCATGCATAGACATGACCATGCTATCATAGCTCATCAACCCGCAAGATAATTCGGTCAAAATAACAAATAACAGAGCTAATTGAGACTAAAGTCAACGAGTTGGAAACTCGATTCCGATTTAATCATCTAATAACTTTGACGAACACACTAATAGTACAATATAAAGAATCATCTTTGATGGCACAATCTCTTTCCAGGTCTTTAAGCTCCAATTCGAAAAGACAGCTTATGCTTTGCGCTGAAAGGACATGCAGCAGAAATTTCGTAAACTATTAACGAAAGCAAGACATAGGAAGACGCTATGGTAGTGAGCACATAAGGCAAATGTACCAGATTTAGCTGGAGAATCCCAACCAATAAAGCTCTACAGAAGAAGATTCTTCCGAAATTGAGATATTGGCTCACTTGGCTATTGGAGACTCATCTGGTAGACACCTCGAGAGCAGGAGGCGTAGTCGAAAGCAAATTTAACGTTTGCTCAAACACATGAACCGGCCGCCATCCTATGTAGACCAGCTTACTGAGCTGATGAAGGGATGCTAACAACGCTGAGGTTCCTCAAACGGAAAGGTTGGCCGGAAGTGCTTTACTTGTGCATAGTCTGGTCATATCGCACGCGAACGCAAGATGGGCTCCAAGATACAAGTAGTCCTAGAAAGCAGCGAACAGATTCCACCAAAGTCAGAAACGATTTTTTGGGCAAGGAAAGGCAAACAAGTTGTGGATTATTGAAGCAGCACAAAAGTCCACACCGGACGTACTTATTGGCAAAATCCTGATCAAGACGCAAATAAATAAACACTTGCGGATCTTCATGTACCCTCGGAAAACAGTCTTTGACAATTCACGCGGACCTTTGGAATATGCAACGCTCCTGCCAAATTTTGGAAAGCATGTTTGGTGTATCTAAACGACATCAAAGTTCTGAGTTAAAACATTAAGAAACACCTGCACAATTTGAAAGAAGCTTTCCAAAGAATAACCGATGCTGGTCTCAAACTAAGGCCTAAAAATTGCCCATTATTTAAGAAGGATGTAAATTACTTAGGCCATCAGGAAATGACAAGCGTTTGCACTGCGAAGGCAGAGATAGAAGCCGAGAAGGATTGTCGAAGGCCTTGCACTTTGAATGAGCTACGGAGTTTTCTTTGGCTAAGCACTTACTATTGCCAATTTATTCCGAATTACATCGTTGCTATTTGCCTCCATAAGCTCTCTAGGAAAAAATAGCCCTCGAGCGGAAGAAGAAACAAGATGAGGCCATACAAGTTCTGAAGGAACGTCTATGCTATCGTACCCGGTTTCAGGTGTAATATTTTTTCGCTAGTGGTTATGTGATAGGAGGCGTACAGGTACGCGATGGGCAGTAGAAGACAGTCGCCTACTATATCCGGCCTATGGGAAAGTCGGAGCTGAACTACAAACGTTGGTGGATTGGATAAAACATTTCCACAAGTATCTAAATGAACAACTTAAATTTCATATCTGGCTGTTTGCCTACAGTATGGGGAAAGAAAATGGCCAGTGCGCCCGTAATCTAATAGTAGTTCCGAAGTTGAGAATTCCGAACATTTTTTAAGAATTTCACAATGGTCGCAGTGGACGTCATTGGGGGATTACGAAAACCTTGGAGAAGTTCAAGCAATTGTTCTATTGGCTTGATTGTTGTCAATCGGTCGCGGAATGGATTGCACACTGTAAAGAGTGCCAAAATTCAGGAGTCATGGACAGATACAACAAAAGGATTGCAACATAGTTATTATGGACTAACTTAAACTTAATTCCAAATCAGGAAGCTGAAACTATTGCGGACGCACAGCTGGGTTGCCGGATACGACGCGCTTAAAGTATAGCACTATGTCCAAAGAAGGAATTACGAATCGGTCAAATAATACTGGGTATTCGGAAAACCCAAACGAATGTCGTGGACAAACTTCAGGCTGATAAGGATATCCATATATCTGACTCTGATGGGATATTGGTCCGCAGTACACATAACTACGGTTAAACATCACCAAGGCTACTCTTCGCAGTAAGCTTCTGCTGCCTTGTAATTTAAAGTTTGGAGTAAATGATGTTGCGAGAAGAATAATGAAGGACAGCGTACTCAAATTATGAGCGACAAGATGAAAGCCTGGTATGATATGGCGATGAACTTCGAAGATTTTCAGGGTATAGATTTAATGTTACTATACAATCCACTGCGGAAGAATGGTTTGCTCCCGAAACTTTAATTCAATCGGGAAGGTCTCTATAAGATGATCAAACGGCTTCGAAGTAGTGGATCGAATACAGACCGTTGCGAGACCAAGAATCAAAATAAAAATAGTCCATTTGAAAAGGCGTACAACATTGTGTCTGATAGGTATGAGACTTAGGTGGAGGGTAGTTTGTCGTAAATTTCAAATACGAATTGCAGATGAACAGGAGAGGCCGATAACTACAATAAATCACATTCTAGAGCGCGAGTATCGAATTATTATGTATATCGTAAGAAACTGGAAAGACATTTAGACATCAGAGCCGAGTAGGAGAAATTCATGAGGTACAAGATTTTCTTCTTTTCTCGTTGGTAACAACATCGGTGCCAAGCGAAAATAATGGAGTTTAAATGTGCTTTATTGAGTAATAAATAAACGTTGATTAAGTTCCTTACAAATTAGATATTGTAAATGAAAATTTGGTCTCATAAAGGCGTATTTAAGGAAAATCGTTACACTTTCGATTCCGATGAAACGCGATTACCGGGGAAAAACTTTATTCGAAGACATTTGAAGCATTGCAGATCTAATTTTCATCCACCTTCTGAGTTCAGCAGGTCGCAGCACAGCCACAACACTTAACACGCCATAAATTCCCTGATAACAACCCAATTGATACTGCACACAAACTCTTCTGCTATCACTTAACTTGTTAAGAGCCTTTGACACGGCTAATTAAACAGTGCTGCCATCCCACAGCTGGATTAAAGTAGATCATAATTTATCTGAGTGGCTGTCAGTCAACAGTAGATTTTCGATTTCCCACCTGAGAAAAATTGTTGGTATGTAAATTGTTCACGGCACTACATCTACAACCAGCTGGATGATGTAGTACCACTGGATGAAGTAGTACCACTCGAACTGAATGTGAAAGACGATAACGTCAAAATCACGAGCTTAAGAAGCTCAAACTTACTGAAAAATACATTCGGCAGTCTGCACTCGTTCCATATTTGACTAATTTTCGGCCTAACAAATTTAAGTTACATACGTCCCGCAAAACACTAACCATCTCTTTGCATGCCTATTGAAGTTCTTTAGTTCGAAACCGTCGAAAAGCATCGTTTTCTGGGCCTCGCGTAAGTTGCACTCGTCGTTATCCAATAACATTGCCTGCTTCTAACCTGCTGAAAAATCTCACATTGTAAAGATTTGATAACTTTCTCACCACCACTCGTATATATATATGGATGAGTGCATAAGTTCGTGCCCGATTCTGCTGGATGCCTTTCGAATCGTTTGAGAGTGGCGCTCGTGAAAGAAATATATACATATTATATATCGTTGGAAAGGTGACAGTCCGAGCTATAAATCAAGCATAAAATAACTTCATTTTGATTTGAGTTGCTTAGTGAAAAGACGCATGGAATATGGACAACGAAAAAGATCATATGCGTCATATTATGTTATACGAATTCCGCAAAGGAAAAACAGTAGGCGCTGCAACTAAAGATATTCGCGAAGTTTATTTGGACCGTGCTCCAGCACTCCGCACAGTAAAGAAATGGTTCGCGAAATTTCGTTCTGGAGATTTTAACCTCGAAGATCAACCTCGCAGTGGACGGCCTTCTGAGCTTGATGACGATGTTCTAAGGACTTTAGTTGCGAATAACTCACGTATTTCGACGGAAGAGGTTGCCAGTGAATTGAACGTCAACAAATCAACTGCGTTTCGTCGTTTAAAAAAGGTTGGGTACACTTTGAAGCTCGATACATGGGTGCCACATCAGTTGAGTGAAAAAAACAAAGTGGACCGTATGTCAACAGCAATTTCTTTGCTTCGACGGATCAAAAACGAACCTTTTTTGGATCGGCTCGTGACTGGTGATGAAAAATGGATCCTGTACAACAATGTTCAACGCAAAAGAACATGGAAACAGGCACACGAAGGGGCGGAACCGATGTCGAAAGGTGGATTGCATCCGATGAAGGTACTGCTGTGCATTTGGTGGGATATCCGAGGCGTGATCTATTTTGAGCTCTTGCCAGCTGGAGAAACGATCACTGCCAACAAGTATTGTCAGCAATTGGTCGAATTGAAGAAAGCAATTGATGAAAAACGTCCGATTTTGGCCAATCGCAAAGGAGTTCTTTTCCATCATGACAACGCCAGGCCACATGTTGCAAAACCGACCCTGGCCAAACTGAAGGAGATGAATTGGGAAATCATGCCGCATCCCCCATATTCACCCGACATTGCACCTTCTGATTATCATTTGTTTCGATCGCTGCAGAACAATTTGAATGGAAAAAAATTTAAAAATGTGGAAGACGTCAAAAACCACCTTGACACCTTTTTCAACGAGAAACCGCGCGATTTCTATGAATCAGGCATCCGTAAATTGGTTGAACGTTGGGAGTGAATTGCCGAACATGATGGCGAATACATAATTGATTAATAAAAGCGCTTTCTTCAAAAAATTTCAATTTTAGTTTGCACTTGAAATCGGGCACGAACTTATGCACTCATCCATACATACATTTAGATATATTTATATAGATATATGTATGTGTTCTCCTTCAACCACGAATTTAATCTAACCCATAATCAATTTGCATTTATCTCTTGTAATTGCGAATATTGAATTTATATGCTACAAAAAATAATATTATATAATACACTGCTGTTCAAACTTTGCAAACATATTTTTTTCGCTTGCGTTGCACATCAAACCATCTGTGGTTGAACCACACAAAATGTGAGTTGCAAAAATGCAAACAAACAACTGACACTGTGTTACAGTGCTGCCATATTCTAAAAGGTGTAAGAAAGAAACAAATATAAAATACAAACAAAACAGCGTCGCACCAAAAAAACTTGATGTGGCAATAATGCAAGGGCATCAACAGTTTTGCAATTTGTGAATGGATTGTGAAGGAAATAAATTTTTCATAATATGAAGAGAAAATTTCGACATAGCCAAATTAAAAGGTGGACACAAGATGAAATCAGTAAAATAGTGGACTATATGACAGAATATAAAAATGTTGAGGTAATTAAATAAGTAAATACAAGTATACAATTGCCAGCAGAATTATTTATTGTTTGCATTTAGAAACCAACAGCACGAGTTTACTATGAAGAATTCTTGAAGATATCACCCATTGATGCGAGTTGGGATTTGATTAAGTGGAAGGTGCGCCATTTAAAAACATTATACGCAAAGGCTGAAAAATGGAAAAACACTAAAGATGCTAAGTCTTTGGACGCGCAACGATTTGCAGGTAACACAATAAAAAAATGCTTGCTCTGCATCTGTATATATGCATACACACAAGTATGTGCATACATGTATATGAATATGTTTATATTTTTACATTCTTCTTTCAGCTAAGCTACAAAGAATGTGCCCACACTTTTATCGGCTACAGAAGATATTTGATGAGAATCGAGCGGAAGTTGTGGAGATTTTAGACTCAAATAGTTCATTTGATGATTGTTACGGTTATAATGATGAATTCGAGGAAACTTTTGACAATCAATGCGAATTTAAGTTATTCGAAAACAACAACAATGAAGCGGCCAACGTACATTGTGAACAAATTGTAGATGATACCAAAACGAATGCAGATCTGTCGCACGCCGAAGAAGCAGAAAAATGTGAAACAATGCAAATTTCTACACATTTTACATCAGTGCCTGTAAATGTTTTAAATGAACAAACGAATGAGGATATAGAATTTGTAGAAACTGCGCCGCCTATAGTAGATACAATAGATCTTCGTTCGATTGCCAAGAAAATCAAAAAAGAAAAAATTAGAAAATCACTCGCCGCGCTAACTCAAAGTCAGGTGGATAAAAATGAAATGCAAAAGTTGCGATTTAAATTCGAAGAGTATAAATTTGCACAAGAATTTGAATTTATAAAATATAAATTCGAAGCGGAGGTGGAACTTAAAAAGCAAGAACTTGAATTGAGAGAAAGGGAAATGGAAAGTAATCAAAGATTGAGAATTTTAGAAATTGAAAGTAATCAAAACTTGAAGACTATGGAAATGGAGAAAAATGAGCGGGTGGCGAAATATGAATTAAATCTTAAATATAATGCATTACATAAAAATACATGTAATAAGAATAGTGATTAACGCTCGCATATATGTATATATGCACATACATATATATTTAACTAGTATAAGATAATAATATTTTTTTTACTTATATGACATATTAAAATTTTAAACAATTAACGAGTTGAACTAAATTAATTGCTTTGAAAAACTTTAATTTTTATTTATGAATTTCGTTTCAATCGATATATTAAATTATTTTAATACAATAAATATGTGTAAGAAGATATTAATTATAGTCGCTTAAATAAAAGACTTAAAAGAGTATGATAAGAAGCCTTTAACTGCCGACGTGAACTCTAAAAATCGGTCTGGTGCTTCAAGTGGAGAGGTTTGTTTGCCTTGCATCTAACTTATATATAAGTTAAAAACAATAATAAAAAAAATAATAAAAAAAAATAGCTCGGGTTGTTTAAAGAAAACGAGTGTGGGTAAAATTTCTAAAAAGATGTAAAAGTCGTGAACCGCGGCCAGCAAAATATCAGCGTTTACAACACCAAAATTCAATTGACATTGCAGCAAAATCCATTTGCAGATTGGTAGTGTTTAAGGAATTCTGTGCTAGAATCAAAATAAACTACATATCACCACAACTTATCTGGGAAAGAGGGTTTCAAGCCACTGGCCAGAAAATGGATGCTTATAGAACATCAGCGGAACTTACAATCTCTACCGCAGACGGATGAAAAATGGCTGTTGGAGTAGTAAAGGGTGTCTATTGCGCGGGCAAGATATCAGGCAATGCTGGTATCTAAAGCAGTAATATTAAATCGTATTGGGACATAAAATCTCCTTCGAAGCAGGAGTGCATTAAATAAGGTTACTGCAGGGAAGCAATGGACTGTCCATTGTTCTGGGGCATAATGATGGGATGGGAACAAAATATGTAGTTGATGACATTGCAAATCCGTTTAATAATTGAACCAATAAATGCTAAACACCGACTAGGCGTTCAAGAATATATAAAATCTATATAATTGGCGTTTCGCAACCACTTATGCGATTTTTCGGCCGAGCTCCTCCTCCAATTTGTGATTTGCGTTTTGATGTTTTTCTAACAAATAGAAGGACCTACAGTTTATACTAAGCAGCCTCCGAACGCCTGATAGTTTTTTACGAGTAGCCTTTATTTCATGTCCAAAATACACTCGGAGGGGTGGACATTCCCTGCTGAAGAGCAGGTTTAAAGACTTGTTAAGAGGTGGTTGGTATTCTGCGATAATTTATTCCATGCTGGACTTATCCTGGGTATGTTGGGATCGAGTGTTGATAGCTAAGTTTAAAGTTAACAACCTTAAAACACGCCAGGATAGCTCGGGTTAGTTCGAGAAACTAATTCACAAAATGTGGCGATGGACTCACATTGACTGACTCTCTGTCGAAAGTGCAGAAGTGGAAAATGTCAGAGAGGCAGTCGGTAGTTCTCGAATATAGGTTAAAAATATCATGGGTGGACGCCAATATCATGCAATAATCATAATGTCCAGCAGACCTCTTTGGTGGTGGAGGAAATTTCCGATTGGAACCTTTGCTTACATTTTCTTAGTTTGGTGTTTTGACCTCAAAATTCTAGCGATGATTGCCGACCTTTTAGATAATTACAGTTTTTTTTATCAGTTGTATATTTCTGTGATATTTAGCACTTTATATAAACTCTGTCTTTATATAAAGATTAATTCAAATTTATAAAAATTTTAGGAAGCCAGAAGCCGGGTCGCTCTCTTCTCATGCTTTCAGCCGTATCAGCGATATACAAAGATATACAATTTGCGAAAAGAACTAAAGCGTTCTTCAAGCTAATGGCGCAATAAAGAGTGGTAATGCAGCTTGGTGGTATGTAGTAAGTCTGGCAACACTATGGACGTAATTTCGCTGGGTCAACCAGTTCAATCTAACCAAACCTTGCTGCCGTGTTTAAGAGGAAGAAAAATTTGTCTACTCCGTTGGAAAGATCAAAGGATGGTGTATCAAATTGGTAGCAAACTGCGAAGAAAAGACACCTTGTAAGCGGTGTGTACGCCAATTATGCCCTCCGGGTTAGTCGAGTGGTTGACATTGCGTATTGCCATTCGGACGGCTAGTGTTCGTGACCTGGCCCGACTAACATTCAAAATTTTTTAGAAAATTAATTTAAATAAAAAATTTAATTAAATTTTCTGATTGCGGTCGTTTCTCGGCTGAGAATGTCAACCCCTTCGAGTGTGTTCATTACATGAAAAACCAACAGCCGTTCGGAGGCGGCTTAGTAACTGTATACATTAGGTCAATTTCCCATTTGTTAGAAAAACATCAAGACGCATATCACATATCGGAGGATGAGCTGGGCCGACTTTATGACCTTGAGAGACTTTTAAGAAACTTCGGAGAGTTCTAATTTGTAACTCTACCTAGAGAGAAGTAGAAGATTTATGGTATTTTGCGTATGCACAAACTATAGATTGAAACCTTGTACGAGACATTGACCTAGTTTAGGGAATTAAGACTTTATCTGAACTGATCTGAGTCTTCCGGCAAAGCGATAAAGTGAATTTAATTGAAGGCAGCGTTACTATTTGAATTAAGGGATCCAGGAAGATCTCAAAAACGACCAAGTAGACGCTTCCGAAACCATTTAGTTGAAGTATTTTACAGTGTTTGTATATATTACTACGTACAGTTTTGCCCTGGAGACTTAAATTTATGAATAAAGATCTGGGCTTTTAGATAAGCTCTCATCAATGATATAAAGTATTTACGGCAATTATTTTCTTAAACTGCAGATTCCGCAGCATCACTTATTCCCTGTCAAATAAACTTTCTCTGGTTACCTAGTACCCGTTCTCTCTTTCCATTTTTTACATTTAATGCACAGGCAAAGAACTAAAGATGTCCTCTGTTTTCAGCCCGTAAAAGTGATTGAGATCATATGAGCATAGTATGCACTCATGTATTTATATATGTTCTCGTATATACATTATTTTATTTTACTGTACTCTGATCCATACCACCTTTCCATGCTGGCCTGACATTATACTACCAGGAAGCCGCAAGCTATGGTTTCTACAATATATCTATTTTGCTCACAATTATTTGCAACTAGCAACGCTCGCATGAATACCCTCACTGTTTGGAGTGAGGCTGATATTGGCCGCAGCCGGAACTATGCTTAAAATCGTGTGAAAGACTGCGCATGTACAAAATAAACAAATGCGAAAATGCATGTAAAGTAAGCCATCAAAAATATGAAGCATACTTTTCTGCGTTACATTGTCTCATAGCCGGTCGTATAGTAAATAAAACGTTTGAGCTTGGAAATTATAAAAAAAAAAATAAATCAAAACTATACAAATTAGTTTCAAATACTTTTTTTAATTCCAAATTTTAATTCGACAATCTGTTTATGGCAGCAAAAATTTAATTTCAGCAGCTGATATCTACACAGAGTGTTTAATGTGTTTAGAAATTGCCCCTGTTTGCGTGGATTTGTTTTGACAAGCGAATTCGACGTTCGCTGGGGTAATCGGACGTGTAATGTTTTTAGCATTTTCAGTTTAGTGTTGAGAAGTGTCGGCGACGGTTGTGTCGTGTAAAAGTTTCGTAGTGCGATTGTGTATAGTGCGAGCCAAGAGTGCGGAAACGGATACCAAGCAATAACAACATAACAGTACAAAAGAACAAGTACAGAAGAAGTGTTGTTTTTTTTATATAAAAAGAGAATTTTCAGATACATATTTATATACAAAAATAGTTACATTGCAAAAAGGTGTATGCACATATTATGTGTTTGCAAAGACGCATGTGAATGAATGATGTTTGCAATATATTTAATTATATATACATATATAACTGAAAATTAAAAAAAAAAAATTGTGTCTAATAAAAATATAACGTTAAACGCTAAAAGGTCAATCAACCAAATTTGACAAGACTTTTAGCAACGGCAGCAAATTTAGTGGAGCAACAAAGTTGCGTTAAATGTTACAGAAAGTAAGCAGTGTTTAAGCGTAAAAAATGGCATAAGAAAAAATGAAAAATAATATAGTGCACTTTTATAGAATGAATGTGTGTATGTGTGCGCTTTATTATGAAAAAATATGTAATATGCAACATAATGTGAAGAAAAACAAGTGAAGAGGAAATTGAAAAAGTATAACGAAAACCATTTTAAAAGGCAAAATCCAATTGTGGTCATGCAGAGTGCAAACATAATAAATATAGAATAAAAACACATGTACGTACATACATATGCATGCATGTTATATTTAATAGTTTAAGAGCATCAGTAGCAATTTTCTTAATTTGCATGTGTCTATATACGTGTACATATGTATGTATAATCGCATACAATATTTATGTGTGCAGCATTTGACAAATAGCACTTAAACGTGTTTCAGTACTTGTTCCACCGCAGCCACGTCGTCCACCGACTAAACAGCCGTCAATACCTTATTTGTAGTCTGTTGACTTTTTCTTGCTCTCCCACCGTGGAGCACTGTGAATGCAGACAAAAGCGAGAAACCAACTTGATTCATGTACCGTGCAGGGCACAAACAAACCAATACACTTGGTTGGCCATACATATAATGTATGACAGAAAAATGCTGAGATATATAATACATACATATGTATGTGTATATGAATGTAGTGACTAAAGCATACTTCCAACTGTGTTTTATCAAAATGTTGTAGCTGTTTTTGCTGCTGGTACAATAATAAAATTTTGCTTATTACTCCTATTATCGGCATCATCGATTGCATGCATCATCTCATTGTGGGTTCCATTCATCAAGCATTATCAGTGCGAGCAACAAAGGAATTAATGAATTTCATCGTGCGCGCACTTAAAAAAAATTGTTAAAAAAAAATTAAAAAAAAATATTAAAAAATATATTAAAAAAAATAATGTTTGTTTATTCTTCGCTTAACTATCAGCTTCGTTGCCTCTTGTTTCACAAATATCAGCAGAATCGTACATACAATATGTATGTACATATGTACGTAAATTTTCAAGAGTTTATTCATTTTCTGTGTATTTTTTGCACAGAAGGTCTAAGTTGTTACATTCACTTTTGTGGTTTGTTTTAACCGAAACCCGTTATGAGTTTACATATGAACATACGTAGTATATTCATACATACACGTACATATAAGAGTTTCGCAAAAAATCGATTTTGTCGTAAAATCAGCTGCTTTCCGGTTCGCAGCTTTCAACCTCCTCTCCGTCCGTGAAATTTTAATAAGAATAAGTTTGTTTATTAGCAAGAATTTTTGAAGGGTTCTTAAAGACTTCACTGTAAAGATGATTGAGTTTCCTTAATTAACTTAGGAATAAACACCAACTATTTTAAAATAATGTTCAATTTCTGTGCCTCACATATATCACTTTATATTAAGCCGCCTCCGAACGGCTGACGATTTTTTATGAGGAGCTTTATTTTTTATCAGAATTACACTCGGAGGGTTTCCTGTTGAGGGGCGACCGCAATTAGAAAATTTAAAAAAAGTTTCTATAACTTTTTCGGATGTCAGGATGACACCAGGATTTGAACCCGAGCCAGGCAGTACGCACTACTAACCACTCGGCTACCGCGGCCGTTATTCCTCGCACTTAGGTCGATCGTGAAAAATAGAAATTTCGCCACTTTTTTTAAATTAGTTTCCAGTGGTGATCCTTAACCATTTCTACATGTTTTGCGAAACGTTCAACTTCGGCACCAGCTCTGCTTAGGTGTGAAATATGGAAAAATAATTTTTAATTGTGTTTAAGTAGATCGGAACTCTGGATTCTTACTGTGCAATAAATTAAAATTAGGTCCCCGCATTCTGGTCGAGGCGAGATTGTTTCAAGGTTTTGCCCCATCCTGCAGTCCGTTGCTTCGTCCTTCATTGCTAAAATGAAGGATATGACTGTAGCATCTTGACTCCTCTTGGTTGAATGATGCGCTAACGTAATTTAATACCGAGAGCACACTGCTTTGAGCAGCTATCGCTATGTGACTTCCAACCGTGAAACTGGGTTCTACTAGTCCACTCAACGTGCTTCTAGTAGACCTGAGTATATTTACAGTCTCTTCAGTTAGAGGTGGTACTCCTGGTTCTTTCTTGGCCTCGTCCGGGTCCTCTAGACACTAGTTGATAGTTCCTCATTGGCCACTAAGTCTTAAGTCTTTATCGATATTTCATCTTCACCTGGTACGTGTTTTACCCGGCACTTATTTCCGTCCTGGACATTTCAGGAAAACAACCTTATTTATCCTGCAAAGATCCATCAATAGCAGTTTGAACTAGCGATTTGGGATGGGGAGCTATATCCCTTAATTCCACTCGAGGTGCTTTCCTGAGATCTCAGTTTCATAGATGCTGGTCCGCTGCTCTCTGCAGACGAGAATGTCTTAGTTGAGGCTAGCTTTTTGTTCCTAAGCCAGTTGATCGGCAAGTATAACCTTAAGTTTCTCCATAACCTTTTACTATCCAGTCCCTATGAGGCCTTACGGAATGCATAGTGTGTTTCACTTGTTTCTGTTATTCTTGACGCATTAGCGGAACTGAGCGAGATGCTTAGCCCGCGCAGAGTCTCCCATTCAAGCCTGCAAAGTACCATATACAGCAGTTTAGTTTAGCGATTCGGTTGGGGAGCTGAGGTCCTATGTCTTTTGATTCCACACGAGTTATTTTCTTAAATTCTCAGCCCGCTTCTCCCTAGCAATGGGAATGTCTTTCGTTAAGTTAAGTTAAGTCTGGTTTTTGTCTTCCTTTCCATTCGTTGTTTTGCGTAGACGTTTATTTCACGATTTAACCGACGGATTAGCCAGGTCACTAGATGCTGCTTTCCTTCTTGGGGCGAAGGGATTTTACATGCGTGGGTCATGCAGGGCATTTCGGCTACGTTTCCCGAAGACATTAGTGATAGTTTAGTATCGCTGTTTGCATCTTACAAAGATAAGGCCATTCGGAGCTCTGCCGAAAATCACTTCAGCTCACTAAAAAAAAAATATTTTTAAGCTTTTAGTGCGAAAATTTACCACAGCTAATGTCAGCTTGACTAACGAAAGAAAATTAATTAACAAAACGTGAAGTTAAGCCACGCTGAATCAGTGTTCTTCGATATAATTAAATAATCACAAATATGCGAGGCCACGAGTATATAGAATTTGACCCAAATGTTTATGTTCTTTCTTATCATTTATTTATCGCTATTTTGGCTTGAAACCAATGTACAGCTTGCTGAAATGGGTTATGGTTTGTTGGTTTGCTGATGTGCTATCGGTTGCTGTGTAGTCCTTACTCCGAGACTATCAACAAGCGGCTGTTTTGCATTAGGAAATGTCAGTCATACGTATATGTAAGGCTCTAATAGGAAAAGAATATTTATCCGCCGAGATACTTCTCCAATTTTAAATAGTTTCCGAGCGATTTTTATGAGGAGTTTTTCATTTCATGCCAGCAATACCCCCAGAGACCTGGACGTTCTCTACCATAAAACGACCGTTGTTTGAAAAATTAGTTGACACAGAGAAAGTAAGTGTAAGTTTTCAATTTGAAACTTTGAGAATATTAACGGGAGCACCATGATACAAACGCAGTGAAAATGTCCATAGGGGTCCAAATATATAATAAGTAAACACCATAAAATAAGAGATTAAAATCAGAACATCAAAATACTTAACAAATCTGCGTAAGCAATTGAATCCTTTCGCTAACACCTTGGTCGCCGCAAGAAGTCAAACCCGCCTGAAGATAAGATATAAATCAACGGAACAATTAAGATCTGGACATTGCAGTTGAATAAATTCCTACCCAACCAGACTTAACCCTGACTTAAGCAACGTATTACCCACATGCATACAATGAGACCCTGCGCGTCGCTAACCACCTCTTTGCATGCCCCTTAAAACCTACCTCATCTAATCTTCCTTTCCCTCTGGTCCGAATCCTTCAAAACATCTCCCGCCGGTTTGCCTCGATGGCTTAGACTCATCTCACCTGCTTCTAAACGGGATTAAACTTAACAGCTAAGACAACAACAACAACAGATAAACCATCCATCTAAAAAGCAACGTTAAGCCGGAAGCCCATTTCTGCTTTTGATTTTCTATGTTTTTATTTAGTTCAAAGATTTTATTACTTGTTGTGAGGCTTCCGATGTTGAAGGAGATTCAGTAAATAAGTATAAATATAGGGTTTTCCAACAAGAGGTGTTATTTTGGTATTAAATGTAAAAAGGAAATAAGCCATTAATAACGGAAAACCATATCAGCCAAATGGCTGCCATAGCTCGGTCTCCTTGAATCGACGTTTTCCTGTTGGCGTAAACCTTATCTTTTGAGTGTCCCCAAAGGAAAATCACAAGATCTCTGTGGTCAATTGCGATCACCCCTTCCAGAGAGATTACACGGTGCGGATCGTTAGTTCCAGTCAAGTGCACGTAGCGCTGTCACCCAATCAGCAGAGATATGACGCTGTTGGAAATCGGTCTGCTTGATTTTTGTGTCAACCGAACTTTATAAGCCTTACGACCCAGGACTTGATACAAAATACGGCGAAAAGAACGTTGAGGGATGAACAAAGCTGCATTTTCTTCAACACTTTGGGCTACAGCAGGCTTATACTCCGTGGTTCTTGAGCGACGTAGGACGTTTTTTATTCTTCCTATCACTAACTTGCCCCAAAAGCTCAATTTTCTCTACCAACAGCCACATTGATGTTTGACAAGGTGCTTCACGACGACCGAAAAATGTGCCGGTTTTACGAACTGTCTCTGCCAATACTTCACCATTTTAATGCTACGTTACAATGTGTATCGTTCCATTTTTATTACTGACGTAATTTTTACTTGTCAAATGTCAGAAAATTACAGCTGTAAAACTGATATCTTCCGGCAAAGCAAGCTATTCAAAATAACACCTTTTATTGGAAAACTATTTATTAATTTAAACTAATAATAATTTAATTTTCCTCTCCAAGTTTTTCGTTGCTGTCATCTGGCACTTTTCAAGCTTAAATTAAAAGCTCCATAACCATGCCATATCACCACACCTGATCCAATCCACTAACAGGCCTATTCTCACTGCTACCGGTAAAGTAAATTTTGTTAATTTTCTATAACACCCGAAATTAAGTTTGGTATTCTGGCGAACTGGTTACAATGTTTGAAAAAAATTTGGCAGCACTGCTTTTTTCGTCCATGTCAAATTACATTTGCCAGTTGATAAAGTAAAAAAGAAAAATATT